TAATCATCTTTATCCAATATAATATAAATACATGCATAGTGTATATATATATTTAGCTTGACGTTTTAAGCATACTTTAAGCACATCGTCGCCTCATTTATTCTGAACGACTCAATTATACAACATCATAGTATAGGTAGTAATAATAATATGTGGTTATATGAATTTACGCCGCTCGTCCGTGTATAATAATATAATATTATTATTACACTCCGACAGCCCGTCCTCACCTCTGCGCATTTTATCTTAATTTCGCTATTAAACTACAAGCAACGTAATAACAATTACGCGGCACTGTATCACCCCTGCAGGTATATAAATCATCGCGATTATTCGAATCCGTGGCGTTACCCAGGTAGACGCTCTGCACGACAACTGTCTGATTGACGTCTGTATACATACACGAAATTCAAAAACAATGTGTACCCAGCTATATAATTTATAATCCGTCGTCCGTTTAACGCGCACGTTCTGATGATGATGACTTATCCCCCCCACGTCGACGGTACGACGCGGTCGTGTGCGACATCCGCGCAATAAAATACGACGATGACGTTCGTTTGCGGAAAAACAAATGCGTCGTTAAACCCGAGGCGAGTGCGCGAGCTCGCGAAGCCGTTTATAATTCCGCGAGAGATAAAAATAATATAATAATTAATACCACGCGAATTTATTGTATGGTTTTCGCGGAGATAACGCGCATTAACAATATCGCTAAGCTCGTGGCCGGTTTGGTTTTTTTTCCTCATTATATTATATTATATACGACCCGTCCGCTGCGACGAAAACACAGCTATATAGTCTCGAGTGCCTACACGCTTGCACGTCGAGTGCGTATAGGTATTAGCTGTACTTCAGCGGTGTTATGACTTATATGTGATGTCAATACGCCTGGCACTCTTCACGAATCACGTGCACCAGCTCCCCCGTAAAAGAGAGTGTTTTTTATTTGCTCGGGTCGAGTAGAAAAAAGAACGCACGCTGTAAAATTATCACCTGACGTACAGCGATTGCCGTTATATTATAATATTTTAATGACGTACAATAATTATTATAATAATAATCGGTTTGTTCACCATTGTAATACGCAATATTGTACCCGTAGGCACATTATAGATTTTTATTACATATTATTATCAGTTGCAGCGTTGATATTGCGTACCTATATGACGTGTCTCGGTAAACCGACAATTATTAGTGTTCGTGAAAAAAAAGGTAGTACTGCACGAACTGCAGTTGGTGCCCGACCAATTTTTTTTTTATATGTGATACATATTATTGAAGTATATTGCAGCAGCAATATGATATAATGTTTGAAAGGTGGAAATTAAGTTACTGTTCTTTGTCCGTCACCCGCAGAACCTGCAGTGTGTCAACCGTTGAAGCTCATTTTTGAATAGAATAAAATGAGATGCAATAAGATATGAAATCGGTTATATACCATAACTTGGACAAACTATTTTTAGCAAACTGTTTTGAAAAGTACATATTGTTCATTCTTTTGAATAATAAAATTATGATGGGACCCAATATTGTCTTAAATCCCTGTATTTCTACGCCGAGAATCGTGCAATCTCATAAAACATTATAAACAGATTAATAAATTCATATTTTTTCTATAGGTACACAAAGAAAATATTTTACAGTGTTTCTGGGGGTGGGATAAATCTAAATACGGACATGCATATGAATTAAAACTTAAAACATATTATTGAGTAACTAAATATCCTATATTGTACATATTCAAAAAACGAACTGCGTGGACTCACATGGCTCAGATTTCAGATAAAATGATACATACCTCTCCCCCATCCCGTTATTTAAGTTTTTTTTACAAAAAAATATCGAAGGTTATAAATTATTATGCTTTATAATATATTTTGTCTATAAAGTTTCGATATAGTACATTTAAATCAAAATAAGAATTTATTTCTTAGAAACTAATAACTGTAAATAGAGGATATTGTATTGTCATACTTATATAATAAAGTATATATTATATTATATGATGGAAATGTGCGTGAGTTTGAAGAGAAACAGCAATATGGAGACGCAAAAATGTTTTGCGTTCTAAACTTCGCTACTTATTATTTATGATAAACGACTAACAAAATAACTGTGGGTCGAATGAAACATAACAAAAACCAAGACTCTCTGGGTTTATTTATAACAATTATTTCCAGGCTATCGTTCTTTAACTCATAACTTTTAAATAATTATGATACTATGATAGGTTTATCCGTCTGTTGAGTCGTGCCACGTCTTTCACCGGGAGCATCTCGCTACCGCACGTGCGCTTTTCGTCTTCCCACTCGCGTTTCCTGATTAACCGTTATAAAAGTATTTTATTGATTTTTATAAATGTTGGTCGAATCTATGATGTATCAAAATATCTGTAACGATCAGCTCTACTCCTTGCCACCCGAGTCGTTTACAATAATAATAATTTCAACTACGCTATATAACAATCCGACACCCATCAAAATAATATATAGGTCCGCGGAATTAGGCTGCAGGACTTTTCACGTTTGCTATTTTCATTTTTTCTTACTGCATTTTGGCAACTCAATAATCATAATATATTTTATCACGTCTCGTTTTGACAAGGTCCTTTGTAGCATATCCTCTACTCTTCTCAGACGCTTTCTCGATGTATAGCTGGTGTGTAAGCCTGTCCGACGGATACCTAGGCCCGAAATATACCAACATATTATTTTTTATTTATTTTTTTTTTTTAATTGATCCTGAGCCCGGCAACTGTGGCCATTAGCTATTAGTAGGTACTGTAGGTTTTTGTATTGATGGTTTGTAGGTTTTTGGAACGGTAGGGGGAACACGTGTGTGTTTGTTTTGGCAGAATTTCGAATGGGGCACCCGTAGGTTTCTGCCATGCCCCGGGGGTGGGGGATGGCAGCACTTGCTCTCCGGTCACCGCGACTTGTCCGGAGAAAAATGCCGCCCGGTGGCCGAGGATCGAACCGCGACCGGCTGCGTCGCAGCGGAAGAGTCAGACCACTCGGTCACCTCGTCCCCCCAACATATTATTATTATTTTATCTACAAACGATTGTTTTACAGTTTTTGTCGATAATAATAGTGCACCACTATTACTGCTGCAACACAAAAAGAAACATTATACGAAATCCAAATCGTTACTATAATATAGTACAATATAATAACAGCAGTATATTTCTCTTTATATATGTGTGTGTGTACCTAGTATAAGATACTATACAGTATGGACCACGGTTGATCACCGAGGTATGGACTATAGAGGAAAAAAACGTTTCACGACGTTAAACTGTGGCTAATAAATAATAATATTTTATAGCTTACAAAAATGTAATGGATAAAATATAGTACGATTAATAAAATATTGAACCGTATCGAAATATATTTATCATTATTTCGATTAGTCATCGCGACGGTGTCATCTAATCATACCTATAATGAGGCATCTTTATACCACGATAAACGATCTTACAGGTCGCGGAAATGTATACGTGATATGTCTTATTAGTATTATTATAGTGACACACATATAAAAAAATTCGTCATTTCGATGTCGATTTCCGTGTATAGAATATGGATACTAGCTGATATGAGCACTCCCTTCTCCATGGGCTGTACATTTTAAGTACTCGACAAAATATTCAAATCTTTGTAATTTTTATTGTAAACATTAATTTTTAAGCCACAGTAAAAATAACAAAATTGATTTTGTCAAGATTTTGAATAAAAATGTAGTCTTTCTCAAATATTGTTTTTTTTAAGTTTTGACCTCTCAATATATCAACTAGATTCAACTTTCTACTAGAAACCACCCTCAAATCATAGCAATTTTACTGTTCCTGAAGATCAAAGGTGACGCCAGATACAAAAACTAAAAAAACACGTAATTTTAAAACTAATACATTCATCTGTCTGTTCGCCAGAGCCTAAAATTAATAAAATAAAATAAGAATTACAAGTTTTCATTTGGATACTGTATTAAAAAAATCACCAGCTTCAAAACAGCATATAATCCTATAGATTACACGTTGTGTATGGTACAATATATTAAACACACTACATGATGATTATTATTTAATTAATTAATTTTTAAACGTCGTGCGTATAGTATTTTTTTAATCGCGCAAACTTGTTTTTACAAATCAAAATAAGTAAACATTGCATGTGCTTTTGTGTTTTTAATAAATAAAACCATTAACCATCATATCGAACGTCGAACTTACTGTTATTTATGTGCTAAAGTACCTACATTATACGTGAATTGAAAATGTTATTAGTTTTTACTATTAACTATAAAATATGACAAAATTAAATACCAGTCACCACAATAAAAATAATTTACGTTTGTAATACTTGGATAAATATTTAATTACAACGTTGTTTATAACTAACATACTATAGGTTGGTATTTGAAAAACAATGTATTCATTTTTTTTACGAACTGCAGTTATAGCTTTTTATGACTTATTGACTTCTGATGTATTAAGTTAAACCAGCACCATCAAACGCAAAACTCAAGTATAGAATAGTTTTATGGGTGAATTTTATCTTAAATTATTACATTTTGATCTATAATGTAGGGGGTTTTAATTTTAAAGTATAGTATACAATATACATACATATATAATGATCTATCTAATATAATATTATCCTACCCATCGGCCACGACCCTATTGATAATGTATACTTTTTGTTTTGTACACGTTATACATACTATATAATAGAAAATTAAATAATGAATGGCTTGTTGTAGTGTCGTTACTCTGGCCATAACGTAATTGTGAGTGAAGAGGTTAATAAACAATAATCAATTGATGAACGCAATCATGACAATGGCAATGAACTCTATTACATACATGATGTGTCGATACATATTAATTTGGAATTATTGGTATTAATTAATTATCTAATCAATGAGCTTAGATAAATCTGTAGTTTGGAAATTACATGCTTTCAGTACCTATATTAGTATGATGTACTTACATAAGGTCGTCAGTCTTTGGATCGTGTTGATTGTGCTTTTATACGATATACAATTTAAAATTCACACGCTACATTACGTTTCTCTCTATATATAATTTTAAATACGTAGATTTAATAAGTGCCTACATAATATAAAATAATTTACAGTGTACCACACGCGATTTTACTTAATTTATTAATCGGTTATTTAATAAATAGAATAAAACCAACAATTATTCTAATCAATCTTGAAAATTATTCGCGATGTCGAAAATAAGGCGCAAATGGATTTCTAAAAAAAATACAGATATGGTTCATTTATCGATTTACAAGTGAGTTACTGATGAAATATGTTATACACTAATAGAATATAGGTTTAATTAATATTCAAAGGCGTTACTATACTGTCTATACTAGAAACTGTGTGATTCCGGATTCGCGATGTATTTCTCGTTGGTAACCTACATATTATTCGGTATTATGTATGAGAATGTAAAATACAGTACACACAATGTTGCATTGAACATATATTACGCGATTGTGTCTAGATCATTATTTTTGACCGTCTATAGTCTATACAATATATAAATATCGATGGACTTAAGACGGCAGAGACAGTTTACGACGACACGAAAACGCGTGTACCTGTGTAATAATAATTAATAATAATAGGTGGGTACCTACACGTATAATATTTGGTATATCATGCTGTGGATCCACGGTGACCGAATACAGTATTGTTGGTGTACGGCATGACGGTTTTACTACCTATACGTTATAACTTTTAAATAATAATAATATCTCGTACCTAATCGAACGGGATTTTCGGACAACTCACGGGTGGCTACTATTATATTATTATTATTATTATTATATATTATCCTATCTATCGAGGCGTACCTATATTAAAATATGGAGGTGCATGAAATACGTATAATATATAATATACCTGCCTACGTGTTGTACTCGCTCGCGCGCAGACACACACACACACACACACACTCACTCACTCACTCACTCACTCACTCACTCACTCATACAGGTGGGTCGTATGTGTGTGTGCTGTACAGTGCACAGATATCGTATATAATACATATTATATTATTATTATCATTATGAGTGTGCGTTTTGCGAAATTCGCCTCCGGGGACATCGCCTCGGTCGCGGATTCGTCGAGTTTTGTCGTCCTTAAATAATAATAATAATAATTCATCTGGGTAATGGGTGTACACACACACACACACACACACACACACACACACACACACACCGCGGGCCAAATGTCCGAATCGACACCGTGTTGCAGAAGAATCTTCTGGTCGCCGCCGTCGCCGACTTTCGCTTTTCTATATACCGCCTCGTGTGTGGTTGTTCCACATAAACGTCGAGCAGCGAAAACCCCGCCGCCGCTTTACGTACATATTATAATATATATATATATATATATATATATATATCAATCATAGACATAAAGATTTATAAATAATATTATCTTTACAATGTGCGTCTGCAGTGTGGTAGTAATAATAATAAAAAATAATAATAATAATGGTAACGCCGTATAATATTTTTTTAGTTATGATCGATCACATTTCCGTCCGCGGTATTTTTACTACTATTAACTTTTTTTTCGACAGTTTACGAACCGTGTGATATTATGATGTTGTGTTAATATTATTATTATGATTGTATTGTGATGATGTACGATTCGTGATTTTTCTTTTTCCCGTCCTCCGCGGCTATTGTTTGCACAGACTAGTAGAACACATATATTTATACCTATTAGCCGTCATAATATAATATTATGTGCGTGTTCGGATTTCGTTTACTGCGGTTTTTCGCATAACGCTCGCGAGCTCACTCTCCGCTGCGGGATTACCGTGAAACCGGAGAAATTTCCTCGGACGGACGTGCCCTCGCATATACACTACCCATATATTTATGTGTGTGTGTTAGGCACCCAGGACGCACGCCGCCGTGTCCATCGCGCATTATTATTTTATTATTTAATTATTATTATTATTAAAAACATATTATATTGTATATGCACGTGTTTCGCACGCGCACTATTATATTATATTATTATAATATGCACTCCGGCATTCGTATATTAGGTACATGCACACACTCATGTGTACCTACTTTTCCTCTCGTCCGCGTTGTGGACCGTGTGCAGTCGTGGGTCGCGCGCGACCAGTCGGTTAGTGAAAAGGTGAAGGTGTTTCGGATTATATATTTTTCTATCGTTGTTTCAAAAGCGCGTTAAACGGTCCATACAAAATGTGTGAGTACGGTTATGGAATGTGTATTTTTCATGTACGATATTATTATTATTATTATTATCATCATTAATTACGAAGATTCCAGACTGCAATACAGTGCAATCATGAGTCTACAATAATATTATATTAATGCAATAATGTTACCGGCCAGTACCACTGTGACGCGATTGTAATATTGTATTATTATTATTATGGTCATTTTTACTCAACTCACAACGCACCTATTATAATATTGCTATAGCTCACAGCGTTATGGTTCTCGATTATATTTTTTTAGTGTCTCTCTTGCGATAATATTATTTGAACACGCATGTACGTCTTCGTAGTTCGTATATTATATTATTATGTAAAAATTCGACGTGGCGTTACATATTATAATATATCATATTATTATAAAATATAAATGCATATTAGGTATTTAGAACGTTTTTAGTTTTTACAATGTTATAGTTGTGGCCTTATCTTGTTATATAACAGATATAATACCCATATCTGGTGCCTATCCCAGTTTAGCCTACATATCTGTAAGAATATATAATATTAAATATTAACGTATACAATTCTAATTTTTTTGAATTTTACAATGTATGCAACAATTTGGTAATACGTTTTCTATAACGTTTACGTTTTCGTTTTCATTTTTTTCATTTCAACCAATAGATTCACATTTTTACCACCCATTCTTTGGTGTGTAATTGGATTTTCTTTTATACGTCTATAAAGTTAGTGTAATTGATTTTGACGAATAGATATTTTCAAACTTGATTGATCGTACCTGACCGATATTTTTTTAATACCTAATAAAAAATATATAGACTTAATTTTTTTCTCGTATTTTTTTTTTTTGTGCCAGGTCAATGATTTATTTCCCATCTAATTTACTACCTATAGATTATAATCTCAATAAAACAATCTGGTTTATCAATTTGTTTGAAACCCAACATAATTATATACTTCTTCATAATATAGGTAATCAATTTGATTTTTTTTTAGGGGATGAATTTCTCATTTTCCTTTCGGCATTTTTATAAATATATTATTATCCTATGACCTATTAAATTTTATCCTGATAAAAAATTAAGCCATCATCTAATTTATCTGCCACCCGGAGACAGTCAATCCTGCAATTAGAGCCTTACCTTTATGCATTTTTATCGTTTTGCTTAAAAGCATATAAGTGTCTACAACATCATCTTCGAAACTGCAAATAAGTTGGTCATGTACAATGTACGTTACCGTCATTACCCCACATGATAATTTCTGTGAGTCTGCAGTATTCATTCAACAATTTTACTAGGTATTACAAATAAACTCGAATGTAATATATAACATATTAAAGAAGAATATTTGGTTAAAAATAAATAAAAATAATTTTTAAAAATGATGAAGTAAAAAAAAAAATTATCATTTAGTTATTTAGGTACTTATCATAATAAAACATTAACATATTGTATATTTAATTTTTTTAGTTGACGATGCGGGGCAACAAATCAGTTTTAGATCATTTTTGAAATCATAGACTTCTCCACGAGAAGCTTTGATTTCTATCTTGCAGTCACTGATCTATATTTTAGAAGCTGGACTTCAATATTCCATCAATTAAGTTTAATCTAATGAAGGTAAGATGATATTACATATTTACTTTTTGAAACTTTAATATATTCTAATCCATTAGTTTAAAAAGTTTTTATTTAATAATTATAAGTATTGAAATTCTTGCATTCTACTTTAAGTATTAGATAAATTATGCCAATGAAAAATAATTAAATAGTATAAATATTACTTATTAGCAGGCTATACAAATATTAATACATTTTAAATTTAACTAATATCATAAAACGTATGTACTTTAGTTATTTCTACAATTTTCTTGATACTTAATTTGTTTATGCTGTGGTAAATTAATAAGCTCGTAGGAATATTTTCGAAAATCTACATATTTTAAATTTCGTTTTATACCTACTTAATTCTTATACACTAACAGCACATCAAGTGTTTATTTACCTATCAATGTAATTAAATTTTAATGGTTTTTAAAGAAGTAGTTTATGTTATTCTTCCAAATCATTAGAATAGTACGTACCAAATCAAGACATGTTTATTATAATAATAATAAATGTATACAATTTTTTTCCAATTACTCTTTACATAATATATATAGATAATTTAACACAGAGTATAAAGTTTTCATTGTAAGCCGTTTAAATTATAAGCTTTTGAAAAAAAGGGTTTTTATAGAATTTACAGTTTTACTCTACATTTTTTGAAAGCATTAATTTTATAATTCTTATTGTAAGTGTCTGTGATTTACAACATACCTTTACATTAGGTTATGTATAATTAATATATAACCTATATTATACTTTAAACGTTTACATATACTTTAATTTATTTTACTGAACATTTTAATGTAAAAATTATTAATATTAAACCAATAGATCAGACTATATTTTTTTTTTAAATTTAGCTTGGATTTAAGTGTTAATAAGAAGATACGTTTTATTTTTAAAAACGCTTTACTTGCGACTTTGGAAATTGACGAATACTTCTCATGGATAAAATTAGCTAATTAATATTTTTTTACATAACACTTTGTCTTAAATACATGTTTTTACCTTAATTAATGTAGGTACTGAGTTGATATTTTTTTCCTTAGTAATAACTTCACTTTTTTACTGAGTAAATGTTTATTATAGTTGAAACGTAATAAGAAAAACTATAGTAATTTAATTTTTTTTTTATTAAATAATTTCCACTAGTAAATATGTGTTTTAAAAAGCTTCTATATGCGTAGAAAAACTGAAAGTAATGTATTCGAATTTAAATCTTCCGTCATAACCAATAATTACGCAATACGAGGAACGTGCAGACTGAATCTTATATATGCATGTCAAATAGTATTGCGAAAATCTTAGAAAAATATTAAAGATTTTGTTATTAACTAACCTTCAAACCTACAACTACGTATACTACGTATACGTATATACTTAGTACTCTTGGTTACACCTTACGGTTCACACAATCACACTGTTACATGAAATCCCTTTAAATAGGTATTCAGAGTTGTTATACAGTAGGTAGTGGTCAGTGGAGCAAACATACAAGGGGTATCATCCGTTAACTATAAAATTTTCAACTATCTCATCTAAGAATTAAATGCTGTAATAAATAATGACCTAATTATTGGGCAACATTTGGTTCCATAATCGATGTATTTGCACATCAAGCACTGAACATTTCAAAAACTCTTCAGTTTCAGTGATTAAAATAGTTTAAAGGTTCCTATATTTTAAGACAACTTTACAAAGCTGAAAAAACCCTATGTAGAATGTTGTGTATAGTGAAAATAAAAAAATAAGGACCATACAACGTTTTATCGATTACCGATAAAATCGGTGTATTGAGTCAAAAGGATTCAGCCTGTGTTGTATGATAGTATACGATAATTAACGCGTTTCTCTGAGTGCAGTCCGTATTCTTACGACTTATCGATGTACTTATTATTATATGTATTAGCGTTATGCTGAATGATACGGTGCACGGTTTATTTATACCTACCTGGTATATAATATTATATATGTATGGTAACCGGTAACCAGGGTCAATTGATTTTTTGAAACGCTCTCCGGCAAAGAATATTGGACAACAAAAAAATGTCGTCACCGGACCGTGTTTCGACATGGCGAGTATATATGCAACGATTAACGGCCGGCGTTGGCGAGCAACGACTAACAAGTATATAATAATATAAATATATAATACAACAATAATGCGTACCAATATATAATAATGTATTAATATACGAAAACACAAAACGATAACAATAATAATGCATAATAAAACGAACGAACCGACTCGGCGGTGTCCCTTAATGAGCACCGAGTACCTACGCGCCTATATAATGTTATGTAGGTACATGTTGGTACGTGTTGGTACCTACACGACGCATTGCGCATACTACAACAACAACAACAACAACAACAATAATAATGTGTATGTGTATTATGTATTTATGTACAACAACTGCAGTGTATGTGTGTGTGTGTGTGTGTGTGTGTGTGTGTGTGTGTGTGTGTGTGTACAACACTACAACCTATAAGCCATAATATCATTTTATATTATTATGCACTCGGCGCGTGGTAGGCGTTCGTTGTAGTATCCGCGCACATATAATAATATAATAATGTAATGTAATGAGATTTGGCAGGCGAAGATCTACGATCTTGGCCGGGGAGGTCGCCAGAAACAAAAGTGATCGATAAATCATTTTACCGACCGGCCGCGCGTTTTCGACGGAAACGTCATTCGGACTTCGCGGAGACGATAATAATATTACAACGACGACGACGATTATTACAGAATAATATTAATAATAGGTACCTCCTAATCGTCGGTAGGTGCAATATTATAATTTATAACGATCGTATTTCCGACAGCAGAGACAGTTCTACGTCGCTGTCATATATTTATCTAATAATTCCTAGGTATATGTTACGTATTGTATTATTTATATTTTAATGGTATTATTATTATATGTTATTGAACACTTGAAAATATTAAAATATTATAAATTATAATATTATGCTAACCTGCCTGCCTATAGGTAGTGAATAATAACTATCGATATCGGTAGAATCGGCAACGTGGGTATTTTCGCGTCCGGAGAATGATCGATGGTATGGTGCGGCATGGTGGGGGGGGTGGCCGGCACACATATGCCGTTTTCGTCCGGTCGTTTTCTCGCTGGGTCCATCTCAAGGCAAACGTGTTCTCCGCCGCCGCTTCTCAAAAACACTGATATTGCTCCTTTTTTCCCCCCACGACACCAGACCTATGGCCGCCACTTCCCTCCGGCGACGTCGGCGGTTTCGCTCACAAAAGAACGAGCCGCGACAACACACCCTCCTTTTGCTGCCGTCACTGCATATAATTTTATCTCAACTCAAATATTATTATTAAATACAATGTAGATACGAGATGTGTACACTCCGATAACGGAAATGCATATTATAATCACTCGGTGAATAATAATTACGATATTATAATTTTATGCACATGGGTGCAAGTGTGCCAACAAATAATAACATTAAATACTCCGCAGTCCGCGTGTAGGTATGCAATTCTACGGATCTCCACGTCGAGTCGCAAAATATGACAGTAATATTATTATTATCGTCGAATCGACAAAATTAACATCTATATCGTACGGTTGAAGACAAATGAGTAGTAAAAACATGGCCGTTGTTCCGGTATACATCATGCAATTATGATATTATAATATTACTCAACGATATAAGTAATTGAAAACAATTGTCAATAATTTTTGAAAAAAATTTGTTATTTATTTACAATTTATGCAGAAAAACAAATTTTAAATGCACCCTTTCAGTATGCCATCTGCAATAATTTAATGTTTAATAAATACTCCAATATTATACTATGTATTTACGAATTACTAATTATAGTATAGTATACCGTAGTCCGTAAAACCGATATAGCCATGCAGATAATGATTTAAATTTCATCAACAAAACTTATCTCTAGTGAAAGAGACTTATCTCTCCATGATATTTCCATTATATATTCATTAAAACACCTTTCTGAGTTTCTGACTTCTATCAACTGTTAGTTTATTCACACATGGTTTTTGAGAATTATTGTAAACTTAAACTATCCGACGGCTAACGGGTATTCTTTATATCGGATCTATGAAGTTTTCCTAGTGATTTACACTTAAATAATTTGACGTATACATAAACTTCCGGCAGTCATGCGGCTAATATCACTGATAAGAATATGTATCCGCTTGTAATTACTTGTTTCCGATACACGAGTTTACACGTTACATGTATTTATTTAATTTTTAATTGTTAACAGCCAGTAGACCGCATACCGGAACCATAGTCGAAATCGAAAATAAGCATATAAGATGGTTTGGTTCAGGTTATTGGTATGTTTGATAGTTAAATGCTAGGTAATTTGGTAGGTCTGTGATCTATTGATATTGTTTCTACAATTTGAGTTAAATGGGTAAATTCGTACAAAAGGCATTAAAGAGTAATATAACAAGACCATAATGGTCCTCGGCCGAATCTATAAAAAGATAATGGATATACTTTTCATGGCGTCTTGATATATTCATCCGAAATAATTGGCTCTATCATTAAGCTCCTATAGCTCCCCTAAGCTCTCTTAGATATAGATTATGTACATCATGTGTGATATGCAAACGTTCATATTTAAGGTATTATTTATTCCGAGCAGTGTTTCAAGTCTTAAGGTGTGTTGTTTATGTTAATAAACATTTGGAGCAAAACATTAACCATCCGCAAGTCGAATGCTATAACCATAATATTATAATAACACAATATACGCGCATTTCCTGTCGTTTATTTATACGCACTGTCGGTGGACAGAAAAAATATCACTCAATTATTTAGGTTAATTAAAAAACAAAAAGACCAAATTAAATGCTCATTGCAGGATACATTATAGTAGAATCATAAGCTTTAAAATAAAATTCATTTTTCTCTCTCAATACATTACTTTTCCGATAATGGCCACGGATATAATAATACAATATACATTTATGTTAAATTAGTGATTTAATTTAAAATGT